AAATATATCAAATATACGCATTAATGGGGGTGACCCCTGGATGAATAAGTGAGCGCCTGGAAAAAAGCTTGAATTCAGTTACCAGTCTTAGTTGATTTAGTGGATAATGTGAGGAATTTGTATTCATTATTGGATTAGTTCCTACAGTTTGTGTACTCTGCATGTCTGTGTCTGTCATGGCTGACCACAGTAAAGTGTTGAGCTCAAATCTGCTGCACACACCTGGTAGTTAAGCAGATAACGGTCAGATCATGCTGTCACCATAAACAAACCATTCTGGAATTCATTTGGATCAGAAACCCTCCAAAGGGTCCATGCCTGGTTGCTTCGGTTCTCACCGGAGTGTTTGCATCTTTACAAAAAAATAAAAGAGGTTTGATTTAAACGGACACAAGTGTGGAAATGCGTCAGCGCCAGCATCTCCAGAACAGGGCAGCTTGCAACAGGACATTCTAGCTCAAGGTGTGTCAGCAATAAGTTGAAATCACGTCTGCTTAATATTAATTTTATGTCTTTTTAAGGTTATCGGGGGGGCTCGCCGCAACAGTCCCAGTTTCTATTTTAGCCCATTGGGAAAATTAATTACCCACCCCTGTTCTAGGTGGATGAGCAGCATTAAAGCCAGAGGTGGGAAAAACGTGTATAAATGTAATATACTGGGGTTACCTGTCTCTTTTATAGGCCTGTAAGATAAATGTGGGGGAGAAAATCCACAAAAAACGACTGGAACAAAAGCTTTGATGCGTTCTGCAGTTTGTTTTTTTTGTTGCAAACCCAGAACCGTTTCTCAGTGATGATCCAAATCATTCCTGTTCTGTAACTTAGTGCAGTCATTACACTACACTGTATAAAATATCACCTGTGCAGTAAATCGATTTGCTAATATTTTTTTCTTTTGTAGGTTTTTGCAAAGTCCAGATGGAGTCGCTCCACGCCTACATCTACGACCATGAACAGTAGGATTCCCCATTCCAGTCCAGCTCTGAAGAACCTAAACCTAAGCCCGACTTAATCCAGTACGACCTAAAGAGCCCTTTTCCCTTCGCCTGACCCCAGAAACAAGTCTCAAATGCATCCGTTCATCAATAACTCCACTGGATGGACTCCTCGGCCGTATTTTAGAGCCCACGTGATTGTTATTGAGGAAATGAAAATAAATAAATAAATAAATGAAATCAAATGAACTTTCGAATACTAAAATAATAACTTATCTAAATCGTGGCAAATTCAGTGTTCGGTGATAAGTGTGTTTTCTACTAAAAAGCTTTGAATGAGTATGTATTTTTTGTGACAATCACGTCAAATCTGAACAAAACTCGATTTGTTCCGGGCAGATTGGAAGTGAATGTTTTTGTACGTTTGCCATCTCTCTTTCTTGAATTTGTACGATACACTCCTGACGCAGCACACGCACAGCTCGTCCTGACGGTTTAGTTTGTGTCCGTTGGAACGGGCAGAGTCCAGTTTTTGTTGTCATTTTGAGAAAACATCTTCTGCGCCAGCTGCATTGTGCTGAGTCCCGTTCAGTATTGACCAAAGAGGAGGCAGTCGTTCTGAAAGGCGTTTTTGGCTTTGAGGTGAAAAGAGCGCACGACGGGACTGTGGGCGAGAAATGACGCGAGACCTCTTTCCGTTGTACACTTATTACTGTTTTAACTCTCATCATCGTTATAGGTGCTTACTGATGTTGTGAGACGCTGCTTATTCAAAGCTTTGTTACGATCACGGCTTCAGTTCGTGTATTTTCTTTTTAAAAATAATTCTAATGTGTCAATGTTACCACACAATACGCTGCCTCCTCTGAAACACACGCACAGAATTGGGTAGAAAGCAAATTAGCTGAATTTTAGACTCACTGTCTTTTCATTGTATCACGCGAGCGGTAATATTTTGTATTTTTTAATCCCCAGTGAATAATGCGTCCCGCTGAAATCATGAAATTCCCTATAAAACATCAGCAGGCTGTTTGCTGAGATGAATTTGATTGTATTGCTTATTAAAATGAGTCAGTATGTCACAAAATGTGCTGAGTGTTTTGTTTTTTTATGCCTTCAATGATCACCTCTGGACAAATGTTTCGCACTCGGCACATCCAATCACTGCATCTCCTCGCAGATTAACAGTTAACTTGCCAGTCCTCGCGTCTTTATGTGGACAAAGTGCAAGCTACTGTCAGCTGGATGTGACGCGGCTTTGCAAGGAGAGGGAGGATACCGGCTGTTTGCTCAGAGGGACCTGCAGATGTTACCTTGTCTCTTGTGTTAAGTGATGTTTGTCCTCGTGCTTTGAATCATTAAAGATGGCAACACTGGAATTGTACAGCAAGGTAAGATTAGGATTAACTTGAGGGCTTTGCAATGATTTATTATTATTTATGGAATCTGCAATTTCGAGGTGCTTGGAATAAGAAACATCCTTTAGTGTATAAAAACAGCTTTGCTACTTATGTTTGAGCACTAAGTAGATGCATCCTATGAGTTTGTCAGGTAAGCAAGTCTGTTTCATTGTCCTAGTTAGGACTATTCCTGATCTTTGATCTGGTAGCAGTGTGTTAGTCTGAGGTATTAAAGTGTTTACTGAATATATGAAAAATGTGTGAGACTGGAAGCTTATTTTTAAAATCTGTGCATTAATAAGTGAATTAGCGAATTAGATTTCTCAGCTTTAAACAATGCCTAATCCTCGCGGGTAGTTTGGAGGGAGGATGACTGCGGTTAATTTTTAACACAGTTTAGGAGCTTTTTATGCTGATGGGTACCAAATAGCTTCACTGGGTGAGTCCAGGAAGTGTGACATCTACCTTAACAGTGCTCAACAAAAATAAAATGGCAAATAAAATCAGCTTTCAGATTTTTCAGCACATCCAGATTAATCCTGCACTTTTCTTCTTTTTTCACTCAGTCTGTTTTGCACACCTGTGACAGTCTGTTCCTTTTTTAGGGGGCAAATGTGTGGGTTCCTGATCCAGATGCTGTCTGGGTTTCAGCCCAGCTTCTCCAGGACTACAGGTCTGGAGAGAAGCACCTGCTGCTACAGCTCTCAAATGGAAATGTGAGATGCAGTACTGTTTTACGCTCTATAGATTAAACCAAATGCTCAATTTTGATATAATTGCATCTGTCTAAAACCCCTTTCTCAGCGATGTCTTACATCCGAGACTTCTAACTTCCGCTTTCAATGACAGGAGGTCCATTACCCAGTGGGCTCTCCCTCTGATCTTCCACCTTTGGGGAATCCCGACATACTGGAGGGCGAGAATGATCTAACAGCTCTCAGCTTTCTCCACGAGCCCGCTGTGCTGCATAACCTCCGGGTTCGATTCCTGGATTATAGCAGCATCTACACATACTGTGGTGAGCACTGCGCTGGAGAGATGGCAGGGAACTTTAGAAAAACAGGGATGATTACTCAGCCAACAATAGACTGGCGAGAGTGAGAGAGGATCTTTAAATTCCTGCTGGAAAAAAGCCAGAAACAGCTCCTGTGTGCTTCTGTCTGCATGATTATACTGCAGCTCATAATGCTGTCTATAATATAGGAGGTCAAAGGCTGAAACTACACCCTCACTGCCACACTGTAAAAGGAAAGAAAAAAACTCTTATGTATGTAGTTGCACATTATCTTTGAATTAGATGACTCATCTTACTAAATCTTCATTTTTATATATAAATGTTTGACCTTTTTCATGACCAGACATCTCAATATATATTACACTGAGATGGCAAAGATCCTATATCCAATAATCCAATGATCCCACATGAGCAGCATTTGGCCATGGTGTGAAAGAAGAACTCACTTTGAAGGGCAAAGACCTCTGACAGATCCAGGCTCAGGGAGGGGCAGCTACAGCCATGTGAAAAAGAAAGCTCGCAGGACTCTGTTCAGCCCCGTGAAAATTAAGCCCACCTTTACTGCTTCCAATTAAAAGGAGAAGTACGAGCGAGGTGCTGCTAATCGAATGCACTTGATTAACTTTAGTTTATACGGTTTAAGGTTTTGGTAATTTGCTGGTCTCTGGCAATCTGGTGCTTAACAAAATCTTCCAGCAAATTCCCTCCAAAGTCCCCTGAGAGTCTACAGGCCTCAGTTAGCACATTAAATGTAAAGGTTTATGATGGTAAAGTTAGAAAAAGTCTGAAAGGTTCCAGGAAAAAGCCTCTGCTCTCTGAATAGACCATGGCAGCACAGCTTAGATTTGCAACGTTGCGTCCGAACAAACAGATGAGACCAAAATGGAGATGTGTGATCATAAAGCACAGCCTCAGTGTTTGGGAGGAAACCAAAAACGGCATATCAGGACAAACACCTCACACCAGCTGTCCAGCATTGTTTCGGGCTTGTTCTGCAGCCACAGGGCCAGCGCACCTTGCAAACCTCAGTGAACTGAAGCAATACTTTCAAGCAAAATTCCTCCACAGCGATGTGAGAGCCTGATAAAGTCATGCAGAAAACAATTCCTTCAAGTTATTGCCCACTAAAAGTGGTTCCACAACCTACTGAATCATGGTGTTTACTTAGTTTTTTGCAGGATTATATAAAGTCCTTCTTCTTCACATGATTGTATCTGCTATGATTGAGAGAAGTAACCAACAACAAGCAGGAAATGACCTGCTCCAGAAAGAGTGAACAAAAGTTAATGAAACGTAGCAGTGTCACATTATTATATAGTAAATAAAAGCATTTATTCATGTCCTCATTATATTAGAATTTCAAGTTTTATTCTAAAATCTGTTTTTAAATAACAGCCATGTTTATATATTCAGGTATATATTAATATTCAGGTTCTCGTGGTGAGATTGCTTTTCCTTCCCGTGTCTCCAGGTATTGTGTTAGTGGCCATAAATCCATATGACCAACTTCCAATATACGGAGAGGAGGTGATAGACGCTTACAGCGGTCAGGACATGGCTGACATGGAACCACACATCTTTTCTGTGGCTGAGGAGGCCTACCGCACTATGATCAGGTCAGGGGTCCTGGGTGTTTGGTGGTCTTATGCTTAATTAACTTTTTGAATATTCTGAGCATTAACTACACTGTGTGGGATGTCATGGTCACTGTGTCTTTGTGCAAAGGGAGGAGAAGAACCAGTCTATCATCATCAGTGGGGAATCTGGCTCTGGGAAAACTGTCTCTGCAAAGTTCACCATGAGATATTTCGCTGTGGTTGGAGGAGCGGCACAGCAGACCAGTGTGGAGGAGAGAGTTTTGGCTTCCAACCCAATCATGGAGGTAAAGGACCCAAATATTTCCCTCTTTTTGTATGTTCGTTATGGTTAAAAGTTTTAATATCAAATTTAGGAAGCGCTGCACACCTGAATCAGTGACAAAAAATCTTAGTAAAGAGACAAAGAATAACCTCTGCTCACCATTATTTTTATTAGTATGCAACATTTCGGTCTGTGCAACTTTGTAAGGTACAGAGTATAAAAAATTCTACTAATATAAAAACTTCTATATTTTGGTCTTCAGTCCATTGGTAATGCTAAAACTACCCGAAATGACAACAGCAGTCGTTTTGGGAAGTACATCGAGATTGGCTTTGGCAGAAAGGGGGACATCATTGGGGCCAATATGAGGACCTATCTGCTGGAGAAGTCACGGGTGGTCTTCCAGGTAAACTAACTTGCTACAATATAGTTAGGCCAGAGCAAAAAGCCACACAAAACCACAAATGTCTTGTAGAAATAATGCATCATCCGTGCTTTCTTCCTATTTGTTTGTTTTAAGGCATCAACAGAGAGGAACTACCATATCTTCTATCAGCTGTGTGCATCCAGAGAGCTGCCTGAAATGAGGTCCCTCAAACTGGGTGAGAGGCAACCCCCTGAGTTTGTTCTCAGAAGAATACCGTGTCCACGTTAATAGGTTCACAGTGCACTGAGTGTGAGTGTGTTTTATTGAGTCCAGATGCTCCTGAGAATTTCCGCTACACTAACCAGGGAGGAGAGATGCAGATACCTGGTACTGATGATTTGTCAGACCTGGAGCGCACTCGCAATGCTTTCACCATTCTGGGTAGAATGTTTACATCAAATCATGCACGTACGATATATCTTTGACGATAAAACAGGAAATCCTTCACATTATATATGTTGAAATTGCAGGTGTGCAGCCTGACCAACAGATGGAACTCTTCAGGATCCTGTCAGCTGTGCTCCACCTGGGAAATGTCAACATTCAAGCCAGTGGGCGAAGCTCTGACCGGGGTTACATTGATGTAATGATCTACATGAATACTTTTGCATTCATTCGTCTTTTGTTCATATTCCTTCATAATAGTTGCTTTGCTTCTCAGGCAGAGGACCGCTCTCTGGCTGTCTTCTCCAAGCTGCTTGGAGTTGAGGGATCTCAGATGGCTCACTGGCTGTGCCATCGCAGACTTGCTGTAGGAGGAGAGATGCTGGTTAAACCTATGACTGGCCAGCAGGCCGTAGAAGCCAGAGACGCACTTGCTAAACACATCTATGGTCAGCTGTTCGCGTGGACTGTCCAGAGGCTCAACTCAGCTCTGCGGGCCCAGCAAGGACGGACCAAATCCTTTGTAGGGGTTTTAGATATCTATGGGTGAGTGAATGAACGCTGTGACTGTGCAGTGTGTGATTAAAGTTTTTGTATGCCTTTGACGTGGACTGACAGGTGTCTCCCTTGGAGCAGGTTTGAGACCTTTGAAAGGAACAGTTTTGAGCAGTTCTGCATAAATTATGCAAATGAAAAACTGCAGCAACAGTTCAACAGAGTAAGCTGTCGTCCTTTCCCTCTGTGATTTGTGCCCTTCCTGTTTGTGTCGTGTTTGTCAGAGTTAGTTTATGCTGCTTTTGAACTGTTATATCAAAGAAATCAGTCCTTTCACCTGCGCTCACATCACTGTCTTTTCAGTCTTTTGTTGGTTTCCATCATGGGTATGGTCTTTCTCTAATTCTGTCTCATTATTACTTGTTTGGTGGTGTTTGCAGCATGTGTTCCACTTGGAGCAGGAGGAGTACGTCCGTGAGGAGCTGGCATGGAGCCGGATTGAGTTC